TTCGAGACGAACTTTTGGATTAGCACTATAAGATAACACATGTATGTAGACTATAGCATCCGGTATATAATTATGATACTATGAATAACTATAATTATCTCGTTGTTGCGTCTACATGAAGACTGTTACAATCTTAATATTTTCTTGTAGACTTCAGACTTTTAATCAGTACATTTGCTCTTGACGGAAACACACTAATTGCTTTCTAGGCGAAATAATTCGTCCTATCGAGAGAAAACTTCTCAACAACTCCCCGTAGTAATAAGCAAAGATATGATGTTTTTAAAAATATCCAATTATACTGATTGCTGTGATGCGTGTTCATTCCAGCTACGACTTATGATAATTGAAGTAATATCTGAAACGCTATTATGTTATATACAAGATCCATATCTAAATAACAACAATAATTGTATCATGCACTGGTGAAACCAACGATGTTGAAATGAAGAATCCAGAGTAGAAATGAGAACGATAGATTCAATTCAGGATTGGTTCAATGAAAAGAAATTCCTATGTATTATTCTATCTTGAAGAGCAATCATAGGTTGTCGTACGTCATTCGTTTTTATGTATATAGAAAAATAGCAAGCAAAGTTTAACCTAAAAAGTTAAGTAAATTTCCGACATGCTCTACTTGTGTGTCCACTGGGATGATGACAAAATAAAAAGTAAAACAAAACATGATGTGTACGACAGTTGTGCCACACGAGAGACTTATGGAATGGCAAAAGTAATGAAGCAGAAAGCAGCTGGATCAGTCTATCTTGAGAAATCATTCGTGCAATTTATTCATCAGTCTCATATCTTGATGAATACCAAAGAAAATTTTTTTAGCTAATTTCTTACATGAAGATTAGTTAATGTGAACTGCATTTTTTTGTTGTTGAATATTCTACTACACAGGTGACATGCATTGTTATATTGTCTAGACTTGGTTCATGACAATTCACGTCAGATATCATATATCGCACTTGAGAAACCTTGAAGCTATTATGTTTTGCGTGATTATTAACAACTATTTAGAGAAAGGCTTTATTTTGAAATAAGAAAACATAACGACTTGAAATCTGTCTTGAAGATAGTCAAATTATATCGAGTTTAGTGCACAGATCGTATACTAATTTTCAAACACGAATAGATTCTCGATATAAATTAAAGAAAACGAACTGCGTAATTTAGTTTGTTTTTAATATACTACATATACATGCTAGACAATGATTCTGATGCTGATCGTCTTAACGGTTAACCCAGAAGCATTTTGAATATCTCAAATGAATTAAGCTGGATAGAGATCAACAGAAACCATTGTTCCATGTAAAAAGAAACAGTTAAAAAGACTTATAAAAGCTTAACATTAAAAAACCAATATTCAAATAACAATATAGAAATATTTTTAGATTTAACTACGATATTGGATCGCCAAAAAAAATTGACAGTATCAATTAGGTCACAATAACGCAGCCATCAATTATATGTCATGGCGTGGCAGTTTACTGTTAGCTGCTTCGATAATATGACGTTAATAACACATGTTTACCTTCCAGAATAAAACATCACTCTATACGGTTGTCGTGGTATTCAGAAAGATGTCTTGTATTTTTGAGTATTATAAAAATCCTTATATTGTTAAAGAAAATCAGTTAAGGCAGAGGTTAGAAAAATTATATTCTTTATTTAATTTTCGTTTTGTTTCATATCGTTCCAACTGAACTTTACCAGTGAATTCTTCTGTAGTGATTTTATTTTATTTTGCTCATATCAATATTCAATCTTTCATATTCAGTTTGCATGAAATTATACAGAGAAACATACGACGTCACATTTGTCTTATAAATCAGCCATAATATATTGTGTATCTTCGTTATTTGTGCATTTTCTATGGTGTCCTTTTCAATTATAAAATAGCATGATAAGAGAACAGTGTTCTCAAGTTGACCTGCTTTTTGTCTTCTTCTTTTCTCGTTATTCTTGTTTACAGTCAATTATTAGTGACGACTGAATAGCAAAGATGCATTAAATAAATAACAACATGCACATTTTTGTATTAGTTTTCTAGGATTCATACTGCTTCTTCTTAATCGAATACTCGTATAGAACGCCGTCCATTCTAATGAAGAAAAAAAAATAGAAACAGAAGTCGAGCAGTAACAATTAACGGCCGATGTTAAAGAAGCTTATTTTCTTCTTCTCTATGTCGCTCTTTCATCGAACTCAAATTTTAGACAGTAAAACATAGAGTATTTTTCATACATAATCATTTATATTCTAAAGAGGTAGACGTATCCCACTGGGAAATAATATTTCATGAAAAAAACATTTTTGTTAATTTGAATAGAAACACTTTTGCCTGTAGCAAATTGTGTATTCAATATGAATCATTAATATTATGTGACATTCATCGGTTGCTATTACTTTTCATTATTTTAGCCATTAGTATGTTTTTCTAGTCAATGATAAAAAGAACATTTTTGCGTTCTTTCGACATTTATATGCATCTTTTATGCGTTCGCATGAATAGAAATTCTAATATTATGAAAAGCAATTAATGTTAAGTGAAAAACATTCGATATTTATAGAATTCCAACTTGATTTACTGAGAGAGACTCGTGTACTGGCGACCGGATAACTAAAAATAAATGCTAATCGATTTTCAGCTAGGTTTTGACCTAAATATATGAATGTCGAGGAGGCTGAGATAAGGAACCGCTGAGAACAATCTATAAACCAGATAGCTAATACAACAGAAGAGCACTCTAATTAATTAAATACTCAACAGATTTGCATTTGCTAATAAAAAACAAAAAACAATATTGTTTCATAGTATCCAATATTTATTTCAATCGATGGTATTAGTTAAAGTAGAAATGAATATTTAATGTAGCAAAACTTTCATTTAATCCTAGGTGCATGTTTTTAGTATCAATTTTACAAAGACTTTATCTAATTGTCTATTGGGTTATAGCCGGAAAAATTTTTCGCTGAAGAAAATAATGAGAGTCAATGAATTTAGTCTTCTATAATAGGCTTTTCAAGTATCAGAATGCATAAGGTTTATAAAAAATGTTGTACCTGATCGACAAAACCTTAGAAGAAAACTCGAAATTGCACCGTCTATAAATCATTTGATGTATCCATGGTGTTTTAACCCTGTTTATCGAAAAAATATTGACAAAGTTCATGTAGGGCCGGCACTGATATTGACTACCGTAATGAACGTAACCATTTGTAACTAATTAATATTGATAAAATTCATCGAGAACAAGCTCTCTCATAGATTAATTTCAGGTATTTCTTTGAAAACTCCTATTACCTGCTGTATAATGATTAAAAAAATCATCATTGACAAGAACTTATTTAGATATCTTTCTTTACAATTAATCCATAGTCCATACTTAATGACCATGATGAGTCTCATATGGAATTAAAATAATATTCCAGTATTGCTACACTGCTGGAAGACGAAAATATAGGGCACTCTTCTTGTTTCATTATCGAATGATTCCAGAACAACACACAAACAATATGAATACGATTAGTTTATTCATTGATAACAAAAAATAAGTCATTCTATGCTTTTTTATTGTTCAATAAGAAGTAAAAGAATTGCTTGGTGTCTTCTATTTGCGTCACCACCTGAGCATACATTTTTCTCATTTTACTGTGTATGTCATTGAGAGACCATTGTGAAATACGTTACATTTTCAAGCATAGCTAGAGGTGGTGCATGCTCGTCTCTTATGAAATACGTTTCAAGGAGAAATGGAAAATATACTAAACCATTGTGTTATTCTTCTTAATGGGATCCGTAACATATGAAGGAGCACATAGGTATAGATGTGATCCTATTTTAGAGAGCCGTAATGCCTATTCAAGGTAAAAATACCATGCGTCATAATATTTTTTTCTTCTTCTTATCATATACCTTGGCGACAGACATCTATATCGATTATTTTTGATAAAATATCAAATGCTCCTTTTTCGTACGAAGAAAACATTGATTTAATGGCTATATAAAGAAATCGAGGCGAAGTACAAAGTATGTTATTCTCGCCTTTCATTAACACATAAAGAAAATAAGGCAAATCGATTATGAAAAGAAAATTAGCTACCCTAAAATGATAAATATCTATATAACTAAAGCATTTTGCTTTATCTTAAACACATGATTTTTATTCGGTTATACTCTCGCGAAAATTTTCCTATTGCATGATAGACTTGACAAATTATCATTATAACATAACCTTGATATAGAAGTAGTGTTTGATTGGTGATTACATGAGTACTTTGTATCTGTTTAATATTAAATATCATACTTGAAGGTCGATCGATCAGTCACCAACGTTCTTTTCCTCTTCTAACGAACATGTCATTAGACAAGTCGATAAATTGATTGATAGTCAGTTATATAAAAGTAATATTATATTGAATTAAAATACAGACCATCTTTTTAAAGATATTCTTTCACCAGAATAGATACTAGTGTATTAAGTTAGGCAATATTGCTGCAATTTAGATATGGATTGTTATATTTTTAGATTTTACATTAAATGCATGCCATTGAAAAATAAGTACAAAACAGAAGAACATTCGATTATGTATGTTCACAATTTTCAGAGGGCTGACTATCTTTAAGGTTTCAGTAGAGAATTAATTGAATAGAAATCCTAGAAATTTTAAATATAACCAGAAGAAAATAATCACCGAATCCCAATAGAAAATACGACTTTTTTTTATAAATATATTTTTATTGTATGTTCATCATCGTAAAATAGGCATCCAGAAAACAAAACACATATTTATATATATATGTATACCACTGTTTCTTTTTCCATCATCAACATCAAAACGATGCGAAAGTTAATCGACAAAATGACAGTACAGTAAAAATTGGGCAACAACAACAAAACAACAATAAAAGAAAAAACACCTGTTTCTATATTGAGAATAAATTAGAACGTTGAGATCATCAAAAGTTAAAATGGTCGATTGGCTGTATTTTATGCTAAAAAATGATTTATTATATATATAACTGAAAAGAAAAACGTCTTCCATTTACTTTCTAATACGCGAGATCCAACGTTTTTCTCATAAGATTCATTTAGTGGAACTAATAGATCAAGTACCTTGAAAGAAAATATAGATTATTTTTTCATAAGAATCAAATAAAGTCGTCTAGCAAACCTGTAAAACTTTACTACAGATTATTTTTCCTTCGTGCTCACCACGATTTTGACATAACTCTTGGTAGAGAGAGTAAAGATAGCATGCACGTAGCATTCGTGGAATGTCTTGATCTTTCATTGTTGAATCTAGAAGAAAAATAAAAATTTCCCTTTAAACTAGACAACTAATATTGACCATGAAATTTACCCGTGTGACACATTTGTAAAGGTATTATAAGACAATATTCAGATTCAGTTAAATTAAGATTACGAAAACATTGACTAAATTTAAACATAGCATCGACCATTTCAACTCCATACAATGTATTCATCCAACGGCGAGTGTATTGAAAACCATCGGGAGAAAGTATATAACATTCACCATTATCGTTTAATAGAGAAGCATATTTGAGCTTAAAAGAAAATTTTCTAAATCTATTTTCATCTAATATCAAAGCAAATATTTACCATATACCAATCGAATGATCGATGGAGAATCATATTGTGTAGGTTACTCGAACCTATATTAACCATACCGGATAACTAGAGATACGTAGAAGAGAAAATAAAATTTTCTTTAGAAAAACATTTCCTTCCTACCTCTTGAATATAAAAGACCGACGAACGAACAGTAACTTCAAGAGTTCCTAATAGTAAACAAAAAGAAAATTTTTTGTTTTGCTTAAGCATGCAAAATAAACATACTTGGAACAGTAGCCAAGAATTGTGCAGCTGTTGCACTATCACCTGGATATTCATTGATACCATTGAAAATCATTTGATGCATTCGCGTTTCTAATTGTTTAACACGTCTTGAATGTCGAAGATAAATATTATAGGATGACCAACGAATAAATCTAATAGAATATTTTTTTTTCTTCTAGTTATAATTACTATTTACAATAAAAACAAAAGATTATTTTACCGTAAAAATCTTAATTCATCATCTGTTATTTGAGAACTTAATGTGGATTTATTCTGACTCAATTTATTGGATATATTGTATACATGTCGGAATAACTCGTCGGTTAAATTTCCTGTTGGATGTTCCATTAAACCATCAGTTTCGTCTAATGTGAAATCATTGGGCAAATATGTTGGAAATCTCGTTTGATATATGAAAGGTGACTTTTGATTTTGATTTTGATTTTGATTTTGATTTTGATTTTGATTACAACTCAAATTTGAGCTTAGATCACGTTCAGATATATTCGATGGAATTGCCGAACGATTTATGATTCGATCATTATATAGTGAAGAATTTTGTTGTGAGGAACTATTATTTAAATAGATTTTAGATGATTGACAATTTCTTCGCATAGCCGATACTTGCATATCCATTAAATCTAGATAGAGAAAATATGAAAGTTATTTTGTCATTTAATTGAATTTTCAACATGTATTCATGAACATATTTTCTATTGGCTGCTATTTATAGCCTGTGAACTTTGAAATTTTTGAATGTGTGTGTATCTGATAATTCAATAATAATAAAAATCTGCCAGATAAATATTATTTTTAATACTGTCAATCAGAGACAAGTACTTTAAAAATTTATTCTAGAACTTAAGAAACTTCTCTGATTGAGTACTTTAGTTGAAAAAAGAAAAACAGGTTACCAGTACCCGATGAATAAGTGCATCCTTTTTTGCTTATGTGATGTGACATCTATTTATAAACTCATTTCTCTTATCAAAAAAGCAGAAGATCGATCAACTTTATATTTTTGTGTTTGCAGGAAACAGCAAAATAATGAGTTCATCATTTTTGAAAATCTTCTTACCTGTTTCCACGGTATTCGGATCATAATTTTCAATGCTACGATCCGATAATGATGAACATGATGATTCTCTAGCATGCCCTCCATCGGATCTTTCACTATGTTCTGTTAATCCTGCTTCTTGTCTCATTTGTTGTTCTTTTTGTTCAAGTAATGCTCGTTCCTTCACTAACTTTGGTATACGACCCATTTTCACACCTGAATTTTATTTAAACAAAAGCGTTTTATAAGAGTTTTTTCAAAGATTTATTTTGTTATTTTTACCGTCTACAGACATTCCTTTGTCTATGCACCGTTGAAATCGACATGCTTTACATCGGTTGCGATTGGTTACATTAACAAGACATGAATTGTCAAAATAGCATCGATATTTTTCTTTTCGTAGAATACTTCGTTTGAAAAAGCCCTAATAAAAGATGCAACAAATATTAATCATGCAAACGCAAAGATCATGATGTTCTTCGATAGTATAACAAGAGTATTTTGCATGAATGATTTTCTAATGCAATATATATATATAGACCCCATACCTCGTATTTCATAAATAATAAAATGCAACGAAGCAAAAGAAAATAGATACATCGTAATTGAATTGAGAAATGCTCATTATCACTAGCAGTATTTATAGTAACTCATTCTACTTATCAGCAATTAAATGATAAAAAATCTTTTTTTCGTTCTTCTTACTTTGCATCCTTCGCAAGTAGCTATACCATAATGTATTCCAGTGGCTGAATCTGAGCAAACTCGACTAAAAATAAGAAAAATTATTCTAGAATATATATATATTATTTAAAATGATGATCTTACCAAGCTCCAAAAGGAAATGCTAGTCGTGTTCGTTTGGATTTCGATGTATTTGTCGGTGTACTTGATCGAGATAGTGACAATTCAATATCTTTCATTTTCTTGATTTCATCATCACTATCGATTTGATAAATCAGGTCACTCTCAGTCATCGCAGAGAGAAAAAAATAAATGGCAATAGTATGTAGAAATATATAAATATGTGATTTTGAATCTGAAATAGAAGCTGATTCGAAACATTTTTTTTTTTCGTTCTTTCTTTTCTGAGTAAATATTGATTGCATGTAACAAAAATGACTCTTTCGTATAAACTTACATGTCGTATAGCCTGTCTTTAAAAGCACGAAGTGTGTGGATGGTAAAAGAAACAACAGTTCCTACTGATAAAAGTACATTTATGTAGGTCAAGTTAAACGTCTTTCATCTATTAGAATATGTCTACGACTGACGTCAGTATTCAAGAGAAGCGATAGACAGAAACAGAAAAGAAGAAGAAAGAAAAGAAATAGAAAGTAATGCAAAATACAAAGAAATATGATTAAATAATGAGCTTGACAAGGAAAGGCGCTAATAAAAACAAACGAATTATCCATCTCTTCTGTGCTCTAGCAATCATGTTTCCTTAATAATATCTACGCTTATTAAAAATCCTTTTTATTCATTTTTCTCTTCTACAAAATTTTCTTCTAATGGATAGGAGTTCGTCTATAGTCATCAGCATTAAAACACAGTTTTTAATCCTTTCTCACAAAAAACCTTGAAAAAAAAAGAAAATTTTTTCAAATGCTTGTGATCAATCTGATTCACGCAAAAGAAAAGCATACCTAGCCAGAGGACCATCTATTATTGCTCTATTTCACAATTAACTAACCAACCGACAAGGTAAATATATCGGTCGAAGAATAGACCAAAAAAGACGGAAAAAGCTGACAAATGCGCGAGAACGATAGGATGGTAGAATAACGAGATAGGAACAGCAGTCGTTGTAAAAAAAAGTAAGAATCAGAGAGAATCAGAGAGAACGAAAGAATAAAAAACGAGGTCATACAAGGACGTTAAGGCCGTTCGTAGTTCTGCTTCGCATAAGTTCCTCGGTACTCATAAACTTATGCGTACACAAACTACCACGTGGTAGTTAATAACTTGCATAGTACGATCAAAGAAAAGAAGAAAAAGAAATGGCAAAACAAGAGAGAAACCAGCGAATATTTTCTCGTCTCTGTAACTAGGTGGAAGAAAAAAAAGGTGCGAGCATCGTTGGCAATGTTCTCAAAATAAATATTGAAAAATACAACAAACCTGTAAACTATAAAGCTTGCAAAATCTAGTATATTTATCATGGGAAAAAAACAAAAAAACAGGCAGATGATACTTTTCAAATAAGAAAAATGCAACTATATGGAAAAAAAGTGAAAATTAGATTATCAGTATCTCATGATTCGTTCGATATTTTTTCAAAAGAAAAATAAATTCACGCGTACGACGTCAATCAATATTTAATTCACACATACTCAAAAAAGAATTTAACATCATAAACCGTTGATTTATAAACTCTCACTTGCATATACATTTAAGATAAAAAGAAATACTGTAAGCAACAATCAACAGGAAGACAGCGTAACCTCGTATTGACGCCTACTCACTGACTCACATCGTGTAATGCTTTCCCCTAATATGAAACACTGAAGCATACGATACTTCGATAACATAGGATAAAAAAGAAAACAAGTATATATATATATATTTGTTGAATTAAGAAATTCAGGCCCAACACTTAAGGCCATATAAATAATATAATGCTATTACATTCACAATATACAATCGATATAACGTATTTACTTCGTCTCTTTCCATAGTGTTAATAAAATAAACGAATATTCAGTGTAACATGTTGGCCATCTAAGCTATCGTTTTCAAGCCTGATTCTATATATAGATCTATTGTTTTTGTTATTCTGAATTGAATGAATATATTAGTCATTATTATGGATAAATTTTAGTTAATAATTACATTTTGATTTAGTACAATACAATTATTTCTTTAATAAACAGAAAGAGAAAAACGTATGCATCTTCTTTCGCAAGTTAATTTACTGGTATTCGTCGAAAGCACCTTACCTTTACACCAAATAAAAGCTTAGAAATGAAATCTGTATTTGAATCGGCTTATCTTAGAACAAATTTCTCATTGATATAAATTAATAACAACAGTGACGTCAATGGTATATTATCCTACTCAACTTTTTTTATTTTATGTCTGACAATTTGATTGCTGATGTCCCCCTACGCTCTAGAAAACGCACTATTTATAAGTAACATATAACTAAAAAAGAATGATCTTTTTCTTCTGTATTTCGGTTGGATTTATAATATGTGATAAAACTCATAAAACTGCTTCGTTTGGAACAGCATAAAATAAATATATGGTTAATTGATAATAAATCATTTTTAAGGATTTATTTATTTACTGAATGAATATATATAGCATGATTTATGAATATATATATATATATTATATATTCATAAATATGAATTTTTTCTGAAGCTACAAGAAAAGCCCGATTAAGTAGCATTATAAATATACACCATTAGGTCTTGTTTAAGTTCTATCTCAATATTAATCATGAGAAATTTTCCAAAGTCACTTTTTTCCCGTGAAAGTCAGATTTGCATCCTTTATCCGTTGAACTGAACCGAAAACAAATGAAAATATAAATGCTTTATGGCATGTAGCACATAGGTAACTATTGTTTCTGTATGGATGATATTTTTAGTAAACTTACTGTGTTGCTGAGTAATCATCCATGTGTAAACAAATAAAAAAATCAGGTGCGCATGGCCCCTGTGAAGTACAAGAAAATAAATCTATATATTGTTCTTCTACAATAACTTGCTGCGAACGAAAACAAATCATATTTTCACGCGATTCATGCATTATGCAACGAAATGTCGTTTTATTTTCGTGAATGATTTTCATTCTGTACTTTCTTTGTTCTTGATTTCATATTCGAGTTCACAAAAATGTTTCCGTTTCCTTTTATGAATATTTTATTGTGTACACTATGATTGAATAAGTCAAATTAAGTATATCATTGGTACGCTTTGTTATCAGAACAACAAAGAAAATAATGAAAAGAGCAGCAAGAAGAGAGAAAAAAGAAAACAGGCACATTCACAATAATTCATTTTTGTTACATACACACGGTGGTGAAAAGAAAAAAGAAATGCAAAAAAAATCATGTCTTGTCTCTCCGGTGTTTTACAAACAGACACATCATACACCCAGTTTTGTCTTAATTTCGATTTTTTTTCTCGTATTTTGGTCAATAAACACGAATGGATGAGAAAAAAAAACAGTACATAGGTTTGTTTGTTTCTTTCTGTGTCATTCGGAAAGCGGATCGATGTAATTCTATGTCAGTAAAACGAACGAGAAAAAAAAGATTATTATTTAATTTCTACACACATACAGATATGATAAGAGTAAGAAGAGAAAAAAAACGAAAGAAACAAACTGCACACATACATAAACATGCGCACATAGAGTGCGCAAAAAAAGAAAGAATTCAATTGATTTATTTTGCATGAAATATTAAAGACATAGATGAGGATAAAACGAGTAATGATCTTAACGCTTTGTTTTATAAACCATTCGTTATTGCAATAGGTTTTTTTGGGGTACAGAATGGGAGATTGACGATAATAAGATAGATCAAAAATACGCACACACACTGTTTAAGAATAGCACTACTTTTTTCGAACGAAACAGAGTAACATTGTTTTTCTTTTTTTCTTTAATAATAAGGGAATGTTTTCGCGTTTCATCACTGCGAAAAGAAATAGGTTGGTAACTATGTACACTGTTACACGACACAATGAAATAGAAATAGTCAAAAAAAAGCGATTTGAAAGAGAAGAAAAAACCGAGTAGTGCAAATGAAACACTTGAGTTTTGTTTGTTTATCTTGATCAATAAATCTTTATGTGTGTCTGTATGTGCATATATATATATATATATATATATATATATATGTGTGTGTGTGTGTGTGTGCCATTGCACTGTTGTGAATTAAATACAACTATTAGGAAGAGGGTATACTTAACGGCGTTTTTAAGAATGGAATTAACAGCACCTCTATTGCACCTCGATTGCGCGCATTTAAGAGGACACGACCATAGAGATACAAAGATTGAAATTTATATATATATATATATACAGGAGATCAATTAGGACGAGACAAAGAAAAGTAGTATTAGGATATTTTTTGCAGCAGATTGCGACAAGAAGAGATACAATTACACGAGAAGACACACATTGAATTGATCTATTGAGATAAAACCAAGAGAAAAGAATTGATCTAGCATTGTAGATAGAATAGATATGAGCATATTTTAGAATTAAGAATATTCATTGTTTTGGATTTTTAAATTAAGCAAAATACATGACTTGAGCCGAATCAGGATGTACAGTTACGGCACGACTTAATTGAACTTGTTGTTGACCATTCGAGTCACCGTTTGATGATTGATGTGAACCTTCATTACTAGAAAAAGAAATGCATGAGATATTGTTATTTTGTTGTTTGTTGAGATTCTAATCAATTTTACCTTTCAGGCTCTCGTTCAATTAAATGATATCGTGCACGAAATGCGACAAGATGAGCGTAGTAAGCTGGTGCTGGTATTGATACAGAGCGTGTACATCGTACATACGTATGACATAATTGATATGTTAATGCTTGTAATTCATCAGCCGAAAAATGATTATCATCCCATAGGACATGATAATGTGATGGTCGAGATGTACCTTGAATACCAGCATGTGAGCATAAATAAAAATCGTATTCAGTTGGATGAGTAATGGTCACATCAACTGTGGTGCCTGGTGGAATATTGCCGCTTTTACCGCACTAGAAAGAACAAATATTTATAAGAATTTGAAGGTTATATTTTCAATTGTAGTTTCAAGTAGCATGAAGAAAATTCATATTATTTTTTGCACTGTTTATTTTTGTTAAATAGAAGGATCATTAAATTGGGAGTAAAAAGAAATACATTTTCTTTTCCTTTCAATAAACATGTAGAAACGCATTACCCTAATATAAAAAAAACTAGGGCAAAAAATAAAGTTCAATCGATCCAAATTTCCAATA